CCTAACAGCGGTGTACTACTTGGGAGCCCAGCGACATAGCCATTACGCTAACTGCTGGTTCCCAAGTCCTGCTTCTTAACACTATAGTTAAACTATATTTCTACCCGTTCAGCCCCATTAAGTAGGTCACCAAATTTTTTTGAGAGATTTTTTGCTACAGGGCATGTGCGCTTACCAGAGAGACAGAGATAGAAAGATAGAAAGTGAGAAATTACCCCTTAGCAGGGGTAGCTACACTGCAATCCCTTCTCCTCCATTCTCTTCTCAAGATTATGGACACAGGGACCAGAAGTTAGTGTAATGGCTATGTTGCTGGACTCCCATGTAGTCTACCACGGTTGGAGTCCCGGGCCCATTGGCTTAAACTCACGCCGGACACGTGTGTATGTGTGCCCAAGATCCCGAGAGGAGAATGGAGGAGACAGGATTGTGGCGTGGCCATCCCCCCTGGGGGGTTATTTCTCACTTTCTGTCTCTCTCTGTCTTTCTGGCGAGTGCACGTGCCCTATAGCAAAAACCTCTCCCCCCAAAAAAAAGAAAAAAAAAAGATTACGGACACATATGCACACACACCCAGTATGAGTTTTAAGTCACTGGGTCAGGACTTGAACCGTGGTTGATTATGTGGGGGTCCAGTGATGTAATCACTATGCCATCTGCTGTTCCCACAATGGCTCACCAAATTTTAACACATGAATTCTAGGGATAATTTAATCATAATGTTAAATTGAATCATAACATTAATCTTATAGCAAATTTAATTCTTCTTAACATTCAAGCACATATACCTTTAATCTTTTCTCTTCTTGTATTTTTGAACAAAGTTATGATCATATTGTTTATGCAGTTTTATATGCAGCTTTTTGCGCATAACCATATACAAGTTCTCGTGTCTTTATTCTTTGAGAATATGATTTTTTTAAATTCACTGAGTTAATTTTCTTAAAGTAGAATGTACCAGTCTTTGGTTTACAGCTTAATTAATTTCTGCCTATGTGTATACACGATCCAGTTCTTATCATTATTCTGGTTCCTAACCTTATAGATGAATTTTGACTGTTTTTGAGTTTCATGTAAGTGGAATCATATGAATGCTGTTTCTTTCCTTCAGTATACTATTTTTAAAATTATATTGTGTTTATAAGTATT